AAAAGAAAAATCTCCTAAAATGATACTATAAACATTTCCTAAACGTGTTGATATAAATCCTCTAAAGTCTAACCATCCAAGACCCAACACAAAGTAATAGATATCAGTCACCAAATCTCTATCTCTCCATCTCATTCACTTCTTCTCCTGTCGTAGTTAGCCTTTGCCGTTTCGCAGCTCGCTCCTCATCTTCTCCCTCCACTGGCTCCTCCTCATCTCCAATATCTTCACTCGTCTTGTCCCCAATGATTCCAACATCTTCACTCGTCTTGTCCTCAATTCCAAGACTATCACTCACCTTGTCCCCAATTCCAAGATCATCACGCGTCTTGTCCCCAACTTCAAGATCAAGCTCCAATGGCTTCTCCTCGTCTCTGTCATCTTGACTCAATGGAACCACCGGACTAGAAACAAACTCTTCATTCTCAGTGATATGGTCAGTGCTCAGACCCATGGTTGCAGAAAATAAAGAGACCTTCTCTCTTGGTGGACTCTTGCCGGTTTCTCTTTCATCATTTTGCATTGGACTGTCTTCTATTATACCAATATCTTCTGAATCATTAGAAGAAGAGCTTTTCGAAGTTTCAGATAACAATTCAGCCTCATCTTCGTTTGGCTCCGCCATAATACCAAGGTTCCATGAAGATAATGACATAGATGCTCTTGGAGATGCACTGCCAGTGATGCGTTGAAAGTTACCCTCTCCAGCGTTCAGACACATGAACTGTTCACCAGTTTCAATGTCTACTTGCTGCCCCAAAACAGAGATAAACAAGAAAATTTAAAACTTAAGCGTTGAAAAAAAAAAAGAAAATTGGCTACCTGAATTTTTTGTACCTCTCCTGCTAATGAGTTGTTGCTAAGATTATAAAACGAAGATGGTTCCTCAAATGTTTGTTGTAGTTGTCCAAGTAATGATCCTGTGTTGTTGGCTCCTGAATCGAATAAATCCCTTAGTACCATACCGGAATCATTAGCAGGTTGCACGTTCCTCATGGAAGATCTTTCAAGCAAAGTCATTTCGATTCCTTGATCGTCTTGCGTCTGTGTCATATTCCCGTTACAGTCAATCAAGGGGTTGCATCTCTCAGAGAGAACCTCGATGCCCGTATTGTTATTGACATGCACTGGACTTTCGCAGGATTGATTCTGTTCATTACTAACTTCCCGTGAACGGTTTTCAAGGAGTTCAAAAATTAACTTCTGAATCAGAGTACGCTTCAATGAAGCCTCGGCCGGAGGAAACCAATTCAGATAAAGCTGAGAAACCCAGAGAAAAAGAACCATCAGCAAATAAAGAGACTGAAAAGAATACAGACACAGCTTGTCTTAGAGTAAAGCACTTCAACTTGTATTAAAAACTATGTGCCTTGACTCTTTCGAACTAACTCATGATACCAGGAAGAAAGCAGAAGATTATATTCTGATTGAGCTGCAAAGAGACAACTTCTACACTAAGCAAAAACAGATAACACAACTGGCCAACATTATTCCAGAGTAACCAACTGATAGCAAGCAAGCTGATTAATCTTGCATGCATCTGTGAAATGATTATTCTTGAAGGGTCATAACAAATATCTTTAGGCCCCGTAAGCAAGTACTCACCCTTCTATGAGCTATCTACTCTACAATGAGAAGTAGCAATTAGAACAGAGACTTACAAAGTTGGAAGTATCATATATCTTGAAAGGACTAAAATTATTGGGAGCTTCAGCAAGAAATAGCTCCAAATAGTGCAGCAGAAAGAGGCCACAGTCAAATGAGTTTTCCTGCTGCGGCAACTGAAATAGAAAGAGCAAATCTGACATCACACAAACTATCATTGATAGCTGCAAAATATATCTATCATTTAACAGGAAGATTGTTAAAGATAAAACATAGAACTAGTACAAGGCTACAAGGATAAAAGTAAATGGACTCTAGTAGATGGCAGATGAAAAGGCGAAGATAAATCAATTGCTAGCCATCACCTTCATGGGTAAAATAAGAACCACAAGTCTATCTTTGCATTTAAGGGAACTAAAAAAGCAACAGAGCATGGTAAAATAAGAAAATATAGCTTGGTAACGTTTTACCACTGAATATGTGACAAACAAAATCGTAAAAGAATCATACGACCTTTGACCCCCCAAAAAAAAAAAGAATCATACGACCAAGGAAATCCTTAAATTCACAGAGGAGAGAATGTCTTCTTTATATCTGCCCTGCTAATAGAAAAAACAAAATTATAGCTTAAGAGGCCATACCTCAAGTGAGACAAACCGCAAATTCATAAATCTGGAAGAAATATCATCTGATGTCTCCTTATGCCTCTCCTTCCACTCCTCGCACAAGTAACTAAAATCAGCAAAATATTGTTATCAACAAATTGCACTACCCAGCTTTAAAACTTGAGTGAATATAGTTGCACATTAAATTCAAAAGGATAAGAGCATGGTGCTACAACATATTGTCCAACAAATAAGGTAAAGAGAGCATGAAGGAAGTATTATCATCTTGTTGGTCAAGTGAGAAATATTAATAGACAACGTATATGCAATGCTGCCAAAATCAGAAGAGACAGAGATTAGAAGACAAAACTGAACATGGCTGTAAGGGAGCTGACATACCTTTGGACTAGATTCTTAAGACCTGCATGGCTCCCTTTAATAGAATCCATATGTAATATGCAGGGTACTTTTGTGGAGTCATCCAAGTCCAGATCTGCAGAGTGATACAACATAATACAATAAACTGAATGATCATGACTTATTAACAAATAAAGTAACATCTGCCGTTACCTTTACAATTAACCACTTCACCAGGGTGACATATGACTATTAAACTCCAGTGAAGACTGTCATTAGCATTTAGCAATGTCAGATTTCGAGCTCATAAACATATAACATAAAGAGAAGTGCCATCAAGTTTTTCGTACTTGAAGTTCACCGGCACAAAAATGTAGTCCTTCCCAAACATGTCCACTTTCCTTGTCCACTTACGGACACGAAGAAATGCAGCCTTTCCATCAGCTATACTTGATGGATCTTTGTCGAGATCAGCAAGTTTCCGGAAGAAAAAGCTGTTAAAGAAATGGAATCTTTGTCTCTCCTCCGTTTGAATCTGATTCTTCAAATAACTGTAAACAATAAAAGAATACACCAAAAACGTAGCTGTGATTTAGTAATCTGTATCTGAGTCAAACAAAGTTAGCATCACAAGAAATTTTCAATACGACTGCACAAGTAAAATTGGCAATTATACATTAACCAAGTGAGAAATATAACTTTCCAGAACATTATGTCGTAAAAATAACTAGATGGCAAACCCAAAAATTGTTTACTACAACGCATGCCAAAATCTATACAATGTGCAAGCATTTCATCAGAGAATTTAAGTTTAAGAACTCACTTAATATAGAAGTCAATGATTGTGTCATTCACAAATGTCTCTGGCTGCAAGAGCTCAACGTCTCTTTTGCAAATTGAAACAGCATCTGGATCTCCCTTTGGATAGATAACATCCTCAAATGGTTCATCAAAGCTGAAAAGAAAACATAAAACTAGCAATATCAATATGAAATGCCAGCTCCAGTGCTTGACAAGTAGTGACTTACAAAAGTAGAACAGAAGACAACATCTGAATCCAGAAAGACAAAAATACAGCTCCGATTTCACCTTGGAAAATAACGCTTCCGTTGATGCAAGTTATCCCCTGATACTTCCACGTCATCACTAAAGCAAATAATATTTCTCATTATCAAAGCATGCAATCACATATTCCCAATGGAAGTGGGCAGAAAATTAATTTTCCAATTAGCATTCCATAATATTAGAAGCTTACTCGAGGTCAGCATTCCATACAGCTGGGTATTTCACATGCAGCGAGTTAATCTTTTGTTGCTTCTCAGGCCAGTTGTGTTCTTTAACCGCAAACTTCAACTCATCAATGTCTGGAAACCACATGAAGCAATACAACAAGGTTAGAAGAGGGATCCCTTGTGTTGGAAAGGAAAGAGTTGAGACTTAAAAAGCCAGACTGTTTAGTTTTTGCAGAAATGAAGATAAGAGAAACATATCTCTTATGACTCTTAGCCGTCATAATAATGTGCATACAGGCAACGGCCTTTCCCAATATAACAAACGAAAATGAAAAAGCCACAATATCAGGTGCCTAAGATGACTAACCACTAAATCGTATTGGTAGGATTATAAGTTTAAAACAGATAACTTGTTGCAGAAAACATTCTAGGATAACCTAAATATATACAATAACTGAGATACCTGTAGTGTGTTGCATATCTTCATGACATTTTTCATCCTTCAATAGAACTCGAATTCTGAGAATGATCAACCCAACCTATGAAAGTGACCGGCAAAAAACATAAAATTGATAGAGGTTCCTATATTCAACTTAGAAAATGAGCCCATAAAGTATATTTTAAAAACGGAAGCACGATATAAATGAAAAACTCACATTTTGGTACCAATTGTATTGAATACTAACTATGTCTTCAACTCCAAATTCACAAGAGAATGGCCCTTCTTCATTATTTGCAATGTAACTCTTTATTTTGATGCCATTGCATGAAAACATTACCAGAGATTCAGCACAAGACGTATCCTTAAGTACAACATACTCTGGAGTCATGATAACAGTCGTGTTTCTGTCAATCTGCAAAGTGGAAAGCATCACTTCACAAAATGTAACTCTTACTTTGTACATCCAGCACGACTAAAAGTATCCTTAACTAAAATACAAGACCAAATTGAGTGTATCGACCATCCACCAGCCCCATCAGATAAATTGCTAAGAAGAATAGCCATATTACAAACTGTATTATAAGCATTGGGATGAAATTTTTTAAGCTCAGAAACAATAAGGGGCAAAAAAAATTTACAACACCTGGTTAAAGAAAGACGAGCACATCATTTTATGAACACACCACAATCTAACTACATGAACAACTAAAGATGTCCGAAAAATAGAACCATGCATAAGGAGATTCTTAACTCAGGCTGAAAAATAAGTAGTGAAACAGTAAACCCCAATCACATAAAATATCACTCAAAGTACCATCATGGTCAACGGAAAAAAAAAAGAACCAAAATTATCTCGTTGCAACCACACGTAGCAGTTTTTAAGCCATTAGTTTAAGAAACTAGAAAACTCATTACCTTTTCCACATCATTGAAGCAGTGTTCAGCCATCCAATCTTTCAGCACATATAACAATGAAATCAATACCCAGTTAGACATTGGGGGACATCCACGTATATCTATAAGGAAATAAAATGAAAAACTGTAGCATGTACCTTCATCACCTTCTGAATCAGAAGCTTCACTCAGCGCAGATCGATCACTCAAGCTTTCATCAATAGCTGATATCATATCATTTTGTTCCTCCTGCAAATGTGAAGAGATTAAAAATGCAAGCTAAATTTTTTAACGGCTTTAGCATACATAAATTAAGCAATACAAGATAGATTTACATACACTGGATGAAGAATCTGAAAGGGATGAGTTTAGCTGGTGTTGGCTGTACGACGAAGTTCCAGCGTAGAAACTTTTCGCGTCTGGCTGGCAAGAGAAACTTTCCAATCCATGATCTACATCAGTTTCTTCAATGTCGTCATCGGTATTCAAACCAAACATCAATCCATCATTATCGTGATCTACATCTGTTTCTTTTGCATGATCTTCAGTATTCAAACCAAACATCAATCCATGATTATCGTTATCTGCATCTGTTTCTTTTGCATGGTCTTCAGTATTCAAACCAAACATCAAATCATGATTATCGTGATCTGCATCTGTTTCTTTCAAATGGTCTCTGGTTTCCAAACGAAATGTGAGACTCACTCCGGATTCCTCAGCTTCTGTTACTAAAGTCGGAGAATCTTCACAATGATGATCCACTAAAGCAGTATCAGCCTCTGCACAACTTGTGCCTTCCAGTTCCTCGTTCTGAACACGTTTGTCATGGCAAACTGACAACAATCAACCATATCCATAAGCATTCATATAGTATGATACTAACTATTAGCATCTGGAAAAAAATAGAACAAGTCATTTCTATTGCCTCCCCAAAAAATTGTAGAAACACAACAGTATTCAGCATCACTATCTCCTACATACTCAGAAACAAAGCAATATTCCCAAATATAATTTTTCGGAACTAAAACTGGAGCAAGAAATTTACAACACCGTGTAAGTTTAGGGAAGAATAAGAGCAATAACTTACAGCTTCGGATGCGTTGGCGTTGCAGAACCGGAGAATTGCACGGACTAGGGTTTGTGAATTTTTCCAACAACTTTCCAGCTGCAGACTCAGCGAGCTCGTCATCTTCGTTGAAATCATATACATCAATGTTTTTCTTCATCGCTACGAAATCCGAGAATTATTCTCGCCGGGAAACGGAAAATCCAAGCCGGAGATCGGCGAACAGAAATCGAGGGTCGAGTGAGAGAGAAAGGAGAGACGCCGAAACGAAAATAAGTCAACACCGAAATGTTAGCGCGTCTGAAATCCACGCGCGGAGGTCACTTTACTATATTTATATCACCACCTAATATCTCCGATGTGAAATGACATATATACCCTTTGCTCGCCGCGAATTT